CCGATGCAATGCATTCACAAAACTCATGCTTACTCAGTTGCTGCTGAGTATCGAAGATGTCCACCACGTTATCTCCCTGTTCCATCGTGTCGGCAATGACACAGTCGACTGCGTCCGCGTACAAAACGCACTGCTGCAGAGTGATGTCGAACACCTCATTGTCCGAGCAGGTCTTCACCATACGAGTTCCTTTGACGCACTCGTAATACGCCTGTTCGCAGGGACCCATGGCGAACTTGCCGTTGGTCGACGCCGTGCATTGCGGCCCTAAACCGTACACGGTCAATCGTGGATGAGCTCGGACGCATCTGCTCGTGCCTACCGTCGTCCCCCTGAAGCGGCATCGGCGCTGCCGCAACCCCTGCCACAGCCGCTTCGTGTTTGCCCACAGCGTAGTAAGCACTGCACCATGCGAAGCACAGTGCAACGATCAGTTCTCTCTGCAAAGCCACTCCCGCGTTGTATCACAAAACAAAAGAAAGCGCTCATACTTACCATCGCCGTATTTGAGGTTGCTTTTCGTAAACTGCTAAAAAATGAAGCTCCTCGTTGACTCGGCAACTGCCTCACAAATGCCACGGCCGTCAGCACCACTACCGAGATCCTCGCCTCAACGAACCAACTGTCTGCGACGTACCGTTCTCACCGACTGGCTCTTCGCTTGACAATGAGCAAATGATTCAGTCCGAACGAGTCACACAGTTCTAATAGACAATTAAGAGGTATTTCAGATAATTATGCAAATATCCGCATGCCATTGTGTCTTAGTCTTAGAACATCGCGTGCGTGAAATGAGGTTATCACTGTCCCAGCAGGCAACATGGAGTCGATCTCACGGATTAGAACCAAATGATGTTTTCTTTGACCTTGGTTCACGCAGTGGCAGATTTCAGCTGAATCCATGCTATATGTGGCTAACCTCATTTATTTGAGTACGGCCTGGTGTGAGTTGCCAAATTCTATCGCACGGTTTTATTATACCAGCTTTGAACCTGTAACGACCACACTAGTGCATCATTTTCACGGCCATGATCTGAGGTACAAGGGAGTGAATCGTCAGTTGATTCTCAACCTCGGCTTGTCAATGCCTATTGAATCACTTTCCTTTCCAGATTTTGTCATATCATTTCTAATTATGCTGCACAGTAAATGTTGAAGAAAAGAATAACACTACTGACAGATGATAAGAAACCTCATAACAAATTCTTTTGATGGTAAATTGTCAGCAGTGCTTCACTGCTAACATCGTTCTAATAGGCATTTACTGCTTAGTTCAAGTTCTTCCACCCACGTATCACTAAAAAAAAGACGACATCTGACAACGAAACAATAGCACTTTTTACCGTCAAGAGTACTAGAAAAAATCTTTATGAAAATGGTAGCGAGATGATACAAAAAGAAGCGAAAAATACGGTTATTTGTATAGGTATGCGCGGAGTGTTATTAGTCTCCTTACTGAAGTGAAGTTTGAAAATCGTTTATGCAGGTGACGATTCCATTTCATTCCCTGGAATACAGGATGCTTCACAATCGTATGTGATGCGTACATCTCTTATACCTCTGATGCATTCACACCTCAAGTCAGAGTAGAATAATTTGTACTGATGATTCATCAGCATTAAAACTGGATTTGAGTGTAAATGCTGCATGAGGCATAACAATCGGAATAGTGGGAATTTCCTCCTAATAACTGGGCATGACCTATAAAATAACCTTACCAACAGCTCATTGGATGCATCTGAAGCAGCGATGTGAAAGACACCTTAGGTTGCGTAGGCTACATGTAGGAAACGCAAGCCAATTGTGCGTTGCATGCTTGTTGAGCTCATCGCCTTGAGTCATTTGGAAAAGCAGAACGTCGCTGGTTTGTGATGCCACTGAATTGGCGGCTTTTCAACACTTTTGCTAGTAGTCCCGGTTGCTGGATCATAGAAAAAATTATTCCTCTCTAGGAGCAGATCAACCTCTCTCCTGATCCTTTGTTGGAACAACTTTTTCCATGAAATGCAACAACACCGACCTAATAAAAGCTAATAAAAACGCATTTTCGTGAGAAGAGGTAACTTATTTCTCAGCCCAAATATTGGCCAGGTTATTCAGTCCTGATTCTCTTATTTATCTCTGGCCGGATGGTGCCGGCGCTGGACGTTACGGAGCATAGATATTTAAATTGGCCAACCTCCTAAAACGGTTCACCTCCTTGCTTCCCCTGTAAATAAGCTATTCCGGTGGGCTGTTCATAAATTTTGACAGCATATCTCCACAGTTTATACGGAATCACTGTGATAATTCTCTTTCGATCTTAGCATCAGATATGATTCCTGCATACATCCCTTCCAAATGTAAGCGATGTGTTCAGATATCTTCTAGCATTTCTCTTCTCGACAACATCGGATGATATAGCGAATCAAAAGCAGCGTTAAAATTTAGGAAATTGGCACCCCAGAGAACCGAAATCGTCGGCATTGTTCAATCATTGTACTCAGAGTGAAAACTTACTTGGAACAGGAGTGTTCCATCCGGATGTCTGCATGGGGGAAATTTTCTGCCAACTGCTTGCCTTAACCTTTTCAAATATTCCAGGAGAAACGTCCTAAGAACTATCGGTAATGTGATGCCATGACGGTCAAAACATCCGGTCGCCTGACTCCCTTTAGGTATTAGGATAATTTTTCTCCGTAGTTCCATTCTACAGAGAATCGTCTGGAGGTCCAATTTTGAAGAAATAGAACATGCAGAACATGGAAAGTTTCTACAATTGCAGTTCCTCTATATTAATTCTTCATCCGGAGGAATTCCACTCACCTCCTGGAGTCACAGTGTTTATTTATGATGTTATAAACCTGTGTAAAGTAAGATCAAACAGGTAGCGTATAACCGATTAGCATTAGCGATTGCTTGCAGAGGAAGTTCCAAGGGCTGGAAAAGACGGGTTTGAAATGAACTTTTCTAATTTATTACAATAAATATCTTCCATTTACAATGGATTTACCAGTGGCCCCTCTCAAATCTGCAACATGATCCGCAACATCTTGCATCTTACTTTCATGAACCACCTACTGGATACATCAAACTTAATATAATCATCATGCATTTTTATGATGATTCGTACTGGCGTCGTGGCTTAAATTTTTGAGAGTGACAGAAGGAATTGCGATTCGTTCGTTACTCAGAGGCAGTCTGATTCCAGAAAACAAATAATGAACACAGTGAATATGGCGAGGGGACAGTTAGACACTGGAGGTTTTCAGGAAGCAGCAACGATATTCATAAAGAGTTGATCTTATGGGTTTCTCTTGTTTATTCATTGTATTGTAGATTAGCTCTATTGAGGACAGATTCTAGAATCTCTATCTTTTCACATTTGCCTTCTTTCCATAATATCCTTTGGAGTATCACTTCATAACAAAGTTCTTAATAATGCTGTTGACTCATCTATTCTGATTATGCAAGACATATGCTTTCATAATTTGATCTTGATCATCGTTCCCTCTTCTATGACATGCTTGTTTTTACAGACGCAACTGAAATATTGAACTACTCTAAATGTCTCGCGTTGTAGCAATACATTATTTTTGTAACAGTGAATTGCAGGTAGAGACCTAGAGAACCTGAGTTGTATTTGCCCGCCCTTCTTTGTATTTGTCACTGAAGTTTCTTTGGCACAGAATCATCAACTGCTGTTCTCCAATGAGGGATGTGCTCTGTGACAAAGTGTTCTGTTCAGTTTCAGGTAGGCCTTCCTGGACTATTCTGTAATGAAGGTTCATGAGTAGTTGTTTTACCTCAGTTGATTGATCGACTCGCTGATCTGCTCTACAAAAGTGATCGGACTGGCGCATTCCCACGTTCCTCATATATGGGGTTTAATTAATGCACGTATTTAGGGCTTCGGTTTGTGAGACCTGTAACTGGTGTTCCTTCCAGCAAAGGCAGACTTATTATAGAGAATCAGTTGTTTCAAAGCTAACCGGTAGAGTGTCAGATTTGTTTACATTGCCATGATTAGTAGCATCTATTTATAAACGTAACTTATGATGCTGGGTTAGTCTCCATTATGAAGCTATCTGCTTTGATTTGAATATATTATGAAGGCAACGTCATCAGCAGTACGGCCGTGAAAGCGATTCTTCTGACGTTTATTTCCTATTCTGTGGAGCTCCTTATGTCTCCAACAACCATCAAGAGCTAGGGAGGTAGCCAGGGTTCGCATCCATGACCAATTACTTATCCCGGCATCTATGAACAGACGAGTAATTCTATAAAACCATGTCAAGAGTTAGAACAAT